CATTATTTGCATTGATTTTTAATGATTTAGTTAAGTCTGCGAGGGACTCTTGGTATTGATTTAGCATGTAATATGTTTGTCCTCGAAGGCTTAGCACAATTGCATTATCTGGCTCAAGTTCTATCGATCTATTTAAATCCGCAAGTGATTCGTGGAAGCGTTTTATTATGTAATTTATTTGTCCCCGAAATCTTAACGCAAATGAATTATTTTTCTCTATCTTTAACGAATCTGTTAAATCGTTAAGTGATTCGGTATAATTTTTTAAACTATAGTAAACTAATCCGCGGCATCTCAGTGACTTTGCATGATTTGGATCAATATTTAATGCTTTATTTAAATCCTTTAGAGAATTTTTATGGTCATTGACCATATAATAAGCTTGTCCTCGAGTTGATAAAGCATCAACATTATTCGGTTCAATGGTTAATAACTTTGTTAAATTCTCTATTGATTCCTTGTATTTGTTTAAATCATAATAAGATTGGCCTCTAACCAGGAGACCAATTGTATTTCTTGAATCTATCTTTAATAAATTGGCAGAATCTTCAAGAGATTTCTCAAATTCTCCTGATTTAAAATGAACTTGTCCTAGATAACTCAATGCAATTGTATCATTCGGATCAATTTCTAGTGATTTATTTAAATCTGCCAGTGATTCTTCGAAACGACTTAACATGTTATATGTGTGACTCCGAGATCTTAGCGTGATCGCATTGTTAGAATTAAGCTTTAACGACTTATTTAAATCTGAAAGAGATTCTTCATAGCGTCCTAACTTACAAAGCGTTTCTCCTCGAGACCTTAGTGTATTAGGGTCATTTGAATCCTTTTCTAATGATTTATTTAGATCTATAAGTGATTCTTCATAACGCTCTAGCATGTATAAAGTTTGTCCACGAGATTTTAGAGCGACGGCATTATATGGCACTATTTTTAATGATTCGGTTAAGTCTACAAGGGATTCTTCATAGCGGGCCAATATATAATATATTTGTCCTCGAGATATTAACGAAGCCAAATCATTATCTATCATATCTAAGAATTTATTTAAATCCTCAAGCGACTTTTCGTACTTTTTTTGCTTAAAGTAAGTTAAGCCTCTGAATTTCAACGCATCTGCATCATCTGGATTGATTTTTAATGATTTGCTTAACAAATCTAGAGATCTTTCATAGTTATTCGCCTCATAAAAAACTAATCCTTGAGCTTTATATTCTCTTGCCTCGTCTAACTTTTGAGAGGAATTTGATCGATTCAATATCCTTCTAAAACTACTTGAACTGGGTTCTCTAAATATTTGTGTAGATGGTCCAACAGATAACAAATTAGGTGAACCATTCCTGGTTAAAATAGGTATGAGTCGCCGATTGCGATTTGTAATAAACACTTCATCAACTGTTTCTTTTGGCATTTTATCAAGAGTATCCAAAATTTCTTTTGACAATGGACGTTTCTGTGAATCAATATCCCAGCATTTTTTATAAAGTTCGGAAAAATTAGATGGTGTTCCAGGAATTGTATCTTCTCGGTAGCCTTGCAATATTTGAACACATACAGCAACTCCATTAATAGCGCTCTCAAATGAGGCTGTTCCACTTGTAAGTTCCCAAAATATTATACCTAAACTATAAATATCTGATTTTTTTTGCAGGATTGATATGGCATTGTGGATCAATATATGCTGGCGCACCATGCGATGTTGCGAACGACGAGATAACGCTATCATTTAGTTTTCTTGCTAACCCAAAATCCGCAATCAAGAATTCTCCATCATTTATTAAAATATTTTTAGGATGCTAATAAATTATTGTAATCAATTTAAAAAATTTAAATAATTTATAAATAATTTCAAGTCAATTTTAAAAATTTAAATGCTTACTAAATCGCAATGAATTATATTATTCTCATGCAAGCCTTTTAACCCAAGAGTAATTTTCTTTGCAATTCTAATAATTTCGTTTAATGAAATTTTAAAAGCGCCCTCTTGCCATTTGCTTTGTAAGTATTGTCGCAAGTTTCCTCCATTTGCAAATTGCAGTACCAGCATAAGATTTTCCGAATTAGGATCTGAGATTATTAAATTATATGGCTTAAATGTTATTTAAGAAATTTCATTTATTTATATATATTATTTTTTACAATACCGATCGTAATCCCATGGAATTGATTAATATTTGGATGAAAGTTAATAGCACGCAGCTGTTTAAGCTTTAATAACATTATAATTTATTCGATGGAATCAAACGCTGAAAGACAACTAATAATATATTACCTCATTAACAAAATCTCTATTCGCTTCTTTAGTATTAAGGTTTTTCAATGCAAACTTTGCCCCATAATAGTCAACCGAACTAATTAATCCAAACCCGCCTTTACAAGTTTTAACACTTGAAAATTAACTTTTTTACTCGTATGATAAAAAGTGCAATAAATAAAAGAATTTTTTTTACCTTTTCCAATATATTCGACATTTTCAAACTCAGAATATTTATAAAAGGCTATGTTACCCTTTTGTAATTCTTCTTCTAACCATTTAGAATATTTTTTTGAGCAAGACATGTTCATTATAGTCATTGTGAAAAAGAATATCTCAGATTTTTGTTATTATCACATATTATATATGTAACTCGGTACAAAAAGTTGGATACTCCGATCTGTTGCTACACACACACTAGTACAAATTCAGCCAATTTTGCATAACGATAACGATAACAGTTACTCAATTAGACCTAGTGATCATGTGAAATCATGAATGACGTTGTTTGTTAACAGATGTGGCCTAAACTATAATACCTAATCCTATCACTAACCCAGCGATGTGATGATCACGAAGATATCTCTGGGTTCCCCTCTTTTTTATATGTACTAAACATTCAAGTGAAGCTTTCTTTATGAATATCTAACCAAGTTCTATGGATTTTTTTTTATTTTAATTTTGCGATCCTATATGATTAAAATAAAAAATTTTCATCGAATATGGTTTGAATTCATCATGAAAACTTTGCTTAAAAGTTTTTATGCCTATAATAAGGAAACTGTGGCAAATTTTTTTAAACAATAAATAATATTTCTCAGTGACTGCATAGCAAAATTCGATAAATTTATTTTTTATTTCGATTCTACGAACACGTAGAATTAATATAAAAAATTTCATCATATTTGGTTAGATAATCATTGAGAAAAGTTGAAAAAAAGAAATTTTACTACAGCTTTTTGATTTTTCAAAGATTTTACCTTTTATTCAAACTTTAAGCGAATATTTCTCAACGACTATCTAGCTAAATTCGATAAAAAAAAAATTATTTTAATTCAATTAATTTATAGAATTAAAATAAAAAAATTTTACTAAATTAGTTTAATGTTAGGGTTTTCATGGCCGACCATTGAGAAGGTTTGACTACCGGAATATGGACTAAAACTAGCTATCTAACTATCCTACAACTCTACACAATTAAACTAATCACTCAAACAACCACAAAATAGAACCGAAACCCTAAAGTGGAAGGCTTCGAATAGAGGCGTGGAAAGACTTGGTCCGAGTTTTAGAGCTTTTTGGGTCTTATGGCGATGTTTCAGATAATTCTTCTGCTGATTTAAGTTTATATTTTGCCTTTATTGTGCCGGGAAATATCAGCACTAACACTTTTAATTCTTCTATTTTGAATTATCGCTTCTTTTGGGGTCACGTCACTTCGATAACTGCGCCGATCGGTAGTTTACAGCTGATTTGAAAACTAGTGGGATTTTGTGCAAATTTTTGTAATTATTTTTCGGTAACAAAAGTGTTGTTTTAGATAATATAAATTTTGTCCAGTACAAAATTTACCGAAATAATGTACCGGCCAAAATTTTTACTCTTGAACCGAAATTTACCGATGATCATCACAAAATTCATCACATAATCAGAATTTGAGATCAGGTGTAACGTGAAATCATAAGAGTTTAATATTAGGGTTGCATTAGGGTAGAATTAGGACAAGGTTATAGTAGCATATGTGCTAATTTTGTTTGAACCCCAAAATTTTGTATGTTCAGTAATATTAGTTAGATCATTTGATTTAAGTACGATCACTAAAATTATCACCAAATAAAATAATATATATTCATTTAATTTGAATCAAATAAAAATACAGTATATTTTTTTTTTACCTTTTCACACAAGCATATTTATAAATATGCCACAAAGCAAGTGCAAATCCATATATAATTATGACATAATTATTCTCAAAGTAAAATAATTAAATGTAAAGCAAGATCATATATATTTACATACAATATTCTTGAAGAAGGAATCTATCCATTATCATATATTTTAAAATGAACAGCAAAGTCTAAAAAATATAAATGCCTGACAACTATAAAATTAAAACTACATGGAGTAGAGTTAATAAAGAAATTACGGTAATCACTTTGATTAATTATATTAATTAAAAGTCAATTTACAAAATTCAATGCCCTAACAATATAACTTATTAAGAAAAGGAAATTGAGTTATATAAATTAACATCTAAAGCAGCATCATTATTTATAGTGGTATATAATTTATATTTAATTTATATTTAGTTCTATTAATAATTTGAATTTAAAATTTAAATTTTATTAGGAATACTATAAAGAAAAAAAAACTGAATATTCTTGTTCTGAAATATTTAGTTTGTATTTAGAGTTTGTAGAGAAGGAGCAAATCAAAAAGTAGCATCCTAGAGTATTATAGTCAATTGATAATTTAAGCTTGTCAGCTCAAAGAGATTAGGTTAATAAAATTGCTAAATTAGAATATCAAACTTTTTAAAAAAAATGCAAAAGTTTTTATCATATGATATGATAATTTTACTTTACAGTCTTTAACATATGAAGTATCAAATCAAACTTAGATTATTGATTTTAATTCCAAAAATAAAGAAAAAAAAACAGCAGGCTAAACAAATAGTTTATACACTTGATCAAGAAAATATATCAAAAGAGTCTTATTGATCTTTAGCAGCAATTTCATTAAATTACCTAGAGAATATATAGTTTGATAATAAAGTGAAACTAGAAATTCTAATATATATTCTTGATATTAATAATTCAAGTTTAAAGACAGATAATATAAATAATGTTGATGAAATATATATTGATGACTAAAAAATTGTTAAGAATCTTATAGATTTAGTTGGTAAATATGAATATAAAAATATTAAACAAATATTATTATTCCTGGATTTCTAAAAATATTTTAACTAATCAAAATTCAACAACTTATATTCGAATTTCTGGAGATAGCAAAAATGTTGGAAATAAAATTAAATATATAAAAATAACTTTCACCATTTTTAATAATAATAATAATATATACAAATCTGATAATCATTATATATTAGCATTATACCCAGGAACAGAAAATTATAAAACACTTAAAATTAGTTTGACACTATTAATTTATGATCTTACAAATTTAAAAAATAATAGAATCAAAGATAATTCTAAAAATATTGAAATATAGATTTATATTTTAGTTTAAATAAGAAGTTTTTAGCAATTTCTTTAGGCTTTAATACTGCAAGCTCAATTTTCTTTTGCCCTTGGTGTAATTGTTTAAAAAAAGATTTGGGTAATAAATAAAAATATTAAATAATTAATAAATCAATGAAACAAATTGTTAATAAACTTAATACTTATCCTAAACATACTAAATTATCCTTATTTCTAATAATTCCAATAACTTACTGGGTTGTTGATGAGTTGTATATTCTATTACAAATTTATAATCAACTTTGGGGCCTGTATTACAAAAATATAAAAAATAAAAATTTTAATAATGATATAGGAACTAATATATGTAATAAAATGTATAATATTGGAGTAAATTTTAATTTCTGGCAAGATTTTGTATCAAAAACTTGGAATTATACAGCATTAATAGGAGATAATTGTCATAGTCAATGTTGGTGCCCTGAAAATTCATAGTGCAAGAGATTATAATCAGGTTATGATCACAATTTGCATAAATAGTGTAATTTGGATATGTATGGGAATTAAAACATTGATTGCATGAGCAATGAGATAATATGTAATAATCAGTGATGCAAATAGCGATTAGTAATAATATATAAAGTATCGATCCCAAAAGAGAATGTATCTAGCTTTGAAAGCTTTTTTAGTGAACATCAATCTTAGTAAATAAACTGTGTTAGCTGTGTGTATACAATCAGTAGAAAGACCTGTACAATACATAGTCTTCAAAGATATTAGCCAAGCATAGAGACTGATAGTAAAGACTCACTAGTACATGGTAGTATTAGGAAAACCTGTAATAAAAGAACCTGGGCAAACAAAAGTTTACTTGCAAAGAATTCAGATAGCAAAAAACATACTTTTGTCGAACTATGTGATTTGATTGTTAATCAAAAGTAAAAGTCTTTGTGAAAACTGAGTAAAACATATTATTGAAGGATTAAAAGAATAAAGATCTTTGCGAAAAGTGTAAAGTTGGGAAATGAATAAAAAGATATTTAACTTAAGTAAAAAGGATACAATAAAAAGTGCTAATTTTCAAGTACAATTTTATTATAGTGACAGTAAAGAGAGTGTAGACAATTTTTTATTCAATTTTAAGACATATACTATATCTGAAAGATGAAGTGAAGTTGGTATGAGAATGATAGTTAGCTGCCATGTTGCTGAACATTTAAGGCCATGGTTAAGAGAATTAATATGGACAACCAAAAGTTAGGCTAAATTGAAATTGAAAATTATTAAGGGTGTGAAAATGTCATATGATGGAAAGATAAAGTTTAAAAAGTTGGTGTATATAAAACAAGAGAAAAGAAAATTAGTAAATTGTTATACCAACTAATTTGAAGACCAAAATGTCAATAGCAAAAGAACAAGTTTATCAAAAAGCTGAAGTGAATGAAATATATATGAAAGGCTGGATGAGAAATATAGAGAAAGGTTTATTATAATTGCCCTGAAATCTATGAGAATATAAAAAAGTGCACTTTGAAAATTGAGAAATATGTAAAGAAAAGTGAATATTATGCGAAAAAGGTCTTTAATAGTTTTGACAAACCAATTGAGGAGAAAGAAAAATATTCAGATAATAAAACTTGTGGAATAAAAGTAGACTTAGAAAGGTAGATCTAGAAAATTATAAAACCCATAAAAGAGATTATAGAAGGCATTAGTTTTTTATTAAAAAGGGCTGTGCAAAGCCAAAATAAAGCCCAGAAATATAATATTTACTAGTATAAGCCAGTGTTGGCACATGATCAGGTCATAACAGGTTATATCACTAAGTTCAATTAGTAGAATCATATGACTTGATTATATGACTTTACTAATTGAACTTAATAATATGGCCTGTTATAACCTGGTCATATGCCAATACTGGTATAAGCCATGTTATCCAAGGCTATATTATGAATATAAAAAAACCAGGACACTTGGTATATGATTGTCCAGTTTGGAATAGAGGTTTAGTAGAAAGCTCAGAAGTAAGCAATGTGAGATGTATGAAGTTAGATAATAGTGCCAAGAGATGTGAGAGTGTAAAAGGAAATAAATTAAAGAGAAAGAGGTTAATATATAGT